AAAATCAATTTTAGATGCAAAACGACAGTTCTGTCGTTCTGGTAGACGTTCTCAAAGCAGTAACGACACTTTTGTCGTTCTGTTGATTTCTCCAATATTTTGCTACTTTTCCAGTAACGACTTGTTCTTTCATTATCTCGATAAATATAAAAGTTATGTCATTTCAATCGTTTTTCGTAGCTTGTCATTCTTTTTGTGTTATACATGTTAATAAGTTATTAGAGGTCGTTTCGTTGAAAAAATCAAATTACAGCAGATAACGACTGTAGTGTCGTTTTACGTTGCAGATAACGACTGTAGTGTCGTTTTACATCGCGACTGCGGACCTTTTTGAGCAACAACAGATTGAATTGGTGCATTATTGGTCGATGTTAAGTCATGGTGTTCGTCGTCTGGGTTAGTGCTATCCACTGGTGGTGGTGCCGACCATGGGTGTCGCCGGAGGTAGGTTTTCCGGCAGAAGAAGAGTGGGTGAGAACTAGTTTTTTGGGCTAGTTTGTTGCTAATTCTGGTGGTTTCATGGATAATGGTTGGTTAGAGGTTGTAGATGGGAGTGAGACGAGGTTAGGGGTGGTGGAGTCCGATGGTTTGGGTGATCGAAAAGTGGTGGAATGGGGCTCCTTAGGTGGCTGCTGAAAATGGGTGAAAATGAAGAAGAAAGAAGAAGGTGAAATGAAAGAAGTTGGGTAAATAATTTGATATAAATTGAAGGACAATTTTGTCATTTTACCATTAAAACATTTTCATTTTTTTTATTCTATTTCATTGTTGGTCAAAGGCCATTTATCCAAAATCATTGTTGAGGGAGGTTATTTGGCCAAATTTCCCAAAATTAAAACCCTCGTTTCCCATTTTCTTCCCATTTCCCCCGCCCATCCTCGCCCAGTTCCCGTCTTCTCCCCCATTTTCTCCCCAATTCAAACCCTTAATCCCCAAACCCCCAAATCGTTGGCTCCCGACGCAAGGCCTCTGGAAGGACCTCGACGGTGGCATCATCTCCACCACCACGAAGGAAGCCGCCATCGCCCAACTCAATGGAAGGATCCCGACGGTCGCATCATCTCCACCACCACGAAGGAAACCGCCATCGCCCAGCTCAAAGCCCTCAGCGACTGATTGTGGTTGCAAAAAAGAAAGTGAAAAATCTATCTTGGTAAATACTGAATCAGACTAATTGCCACTCATTTGGAAGTTTTTCAATTTTCAAGTAGTTATATTATGCAGATGAACTGTTTTTGTGAAAAAAAATAAAATCTGGGTCTTAGCCTTATGTAGGGAATTATGGAAGGGAAAAAATCTAGTCAATTAGCTTTTAATCACCTAATCCGATTTTTTAGTCCTTGGTTTCTTTTGCATTTTATTCAAGAAATCTCACGCATGGAAGATAAGGAAAAAAAAAATTGGAACTTCAAGGCATTTTTTTATTATAGGTTGAGGGAGTGAATAATTTTAATTGTAAATTATTATTGGAAGAAATACTTTACCATCTATTATAGGCGGAACTTTCATTATTTGGGAAGAAAGTATTATTTTGTTGATTACTTACTATCCTCAGTGGACTTCTTGATGCCACTGAGTGGCAAAAGCCTTGAAATCATTGTTCATTGCAAGCGCTATAGGAATTATAAACTGAGAATATTCCAAGTGGCATATGTTGGGAGGATATCGACCAGTTAGCTCAAGATCAAGTATAATAAACGACACCAGAAATACCAATCATCAGAAAAAACTGAAAACCTAAAAGATTAAACAGCAAACTTCAAAGAAAGAAATCACCACAAGAATTTACAGAAACCGGAAAAATAAGTGCAGAAACTTATCTTCATAATAAAGCCCACAAGCAAAGGTTTCATACAATCCTCAGTTAAAAACACTCAAGAATGAACCACCAGAATACTCGAATCAAAACCCAATGTACAGATTACAAAGATCGACACTCAGACAAGCCCTAAATATCATAAACGGAACTCTCTTTCACTAACAACACGATTAACTCAAGAATCAGTACTCAATACAGGTAAATCACTCAAGATTACAAGCTATTGAAAGAAAACAGAAAACAAAAATGAGATTATTTGATTTCAACAGTGAGAAAACAGAGAGAACACGAAGAAACGGCGCAGAGAGAGTGAGAGATAATAGAAGAGTCTCGAATATCTGGATCTCACTTCAAACCCTAGAAAATGGCTTTTAAATGGGTCACCTAACAGTTGCCAATCCAACGGAGTTGGAGGCAACACGTGGCACATCACAGCCATCCAATTCTTCAGGTAAGTGAAACACGATTTAGCCTTCTTCTACACGCTTTTCTGCTCCAATTTAAAAACACAGGCTGGGCTTAATTTATAATCCAGCTGGGCCAATATCAACAGGCCCAAGGGCATTGCATCATAGTGCCAATTTTCTCCACAGCGTAGTGGATAGTAATAACACGTCTAACAAGAACAAAATCAACCAGCTAAATCCAGATGTTTAATTTAATATCTTCCTCTGAAATTCAAGTGGTTTTTGGTGAAGGTTTTCCTCACCAGTGGCTAGAAAATATGATATGTATTACCAGTTTAAGATTGAACTCCCTTTGCATCAGTCAACTCTTAAAAATGTCCCTAAGCTTCTTAGATGACTGATTGTTTTTGAATTTGTCTATAGACTGAATCTTATTGGAATATGTTAAAGTTTAGTCTTTGTAAATATTAGCAACGGCAGTTGTACGTTGAATTGACTCGTCTAAGAAAACATTAATGCTGTTTCTATTGTAACTGTACTGATCTCCTAGAAGAATATAGGGTTACTGATAATGTCAATATTGTGGAATTTTGGAAATCTAACTGGCAGCCCTTTGATAATGGTTGTAGTTTGTTGACTGAACATCTGTATCACATAGTACATCATTCGCATGTTACAATGTTAATGTTAATGTTGACTCTTGTAGGTGACGTTGAACTCGACATCTTCCAATAGGCCTACTTTGTCCAAAGACAATGTCTCGAACAACTTGCCAATGTCTCAAGTGATGAGCATATCATCTCCTCCACCACCTCAAGCGTTTGGGACACAAGATAGCATTGAAGCAATAACAAATTTGCAATGAACCATCAGCTTTTTCGGGAGACAACTTTTGATGCTGGTGAAGTGCCAGTGACAGATTTTTAGAGATCTTTTGATTTTGTAATGTAAATGAAGTGCCAGTGTCTGAATTATGTTTAATCTCTATTCTGGGTCGGATTGTAATTTTGATATGAAAACCTTTAGTCAGATAGAGTTGTAAATGTCTCAAGTGAAACTTTGGTTAATAAAGGCTGGTTTAAATTTCTGCTGGTTTATTCTTCTTGCTGGTTTATTCATTTTGCTGGTTTATTCTTCTTGCTGGTTTATTCCTTCTGGTGGTTTATTTTTGTGCTGGTAAGGTTTGCTGGTTTAACTTTCCTTATGTTAGAGAACTCTGCTTTAACCAATTAAAAATGATCTTTAATGTTGATACCAAACTCTGCAGCCATTTGGTTAAACCAGTTTAGTTACTTTTTATAACAACAGAATTAAAACAAGCCATAGAAAATTCCATCTTCCAACTCAGCCACAGAAATTATCGTACAGCCAATAATGCACTTCATCAATTTCCATCGTTTTCATTTCCATCAACAAAGATCATACAGCCAAATTACAACAACCAACTACAATACATGGTTCTTCTGTGTTGGCAGTGTTGCTCATTCAGACACGGCCTGGATACCAACTACAAATGAAAATGAAATTGCTTACTGGTACATCAAAGGAAATTACATCAAAGGCTCACTGGAAGATAACCCCCAATTAAAAATGCAAAGGAAATTGATAAACTTGTTCTATTTACCACGGGGTTCCTCACTTTTTTATTGTTCATGTGCACGTATCGGGCAGTCATGTCGAGCTCCCCCATTTTCTCTATCAAGCCCCACAACAGAATCAATGGCAACACCGTCACTGAGGGCTTGCAGAGAAGAGACAAAATCAGTCGCTGAGGGCTTTGAGCTGGGCGATGGCGGTTTCCTTCGTGGTGGTGGAGATGATGCGACCAGGATCCTTCCATTGAGTTGGGCGATGGCGGCTTCCTTCGTGGTGGTGGAGATGATGCCACCGTCGGGGTCCTTCCAGAGGCCTTGCGTCGGGAGCCAACGATTTGGGGATTTGGGGATTAAGGGTTTGAATTGGGGAGAAAATGGGGGAGAAGACGGGAACTGGGCGAGGATGGGCGGGGGAAATGGGAAGAAAATGGGAAACGAGGGTTCTAATTTTTGGGGTGCTTTGGATTTTTTTTTTTATTGAACGAGATATTGAGTCAAAATATCGCCACGTCATCATTATGTATACCTTGATGTTGCTGCTGATGTACCAGTAGCAATTCTCTTTAAGATAAAAATGGACATTTCCATTTTAAATGAGTGGAATAAATTCATGTTAATATTCCCAGTATTACAATGAGTATTCTCGGTGTTTTCTATAGGATCTCTCCTCTTTTTTTCAACATGCATTCTGAATCTTTTTATAGGAGGAATATTCTGACGACTAGTACTCCTGTCTTGTCAACATAGACAGCCGAACTGAGCTGAGTCATGTGCTGGCGCAACAGGGTTGGAGCCTGAACTCAACTCTGTCCTATTGGCCGTCAGGTGATGGGATAGGTGAGTCTCAGTAATAAATGCAAAGTCTTAGCTAGGCAAGCTAAGACATCTGATTGGAGGACTAGGTGGGCGCTGACATAGGACCTTTACACGTGTGCCTCTCTGACTGGTAACTTAAAGATCTTGTCAGTGATCCATAATCATTAATCACTATTGTGCCTTGAAGGACTACAACAGCTCGTCGAGTAAGTTACTTAGAGCCGAGCTGACCTCATATATCCGATCTCGCGTCATTTTGCCTTCACTGGAATATGATAGTCCGAGCTGGACGACCTCACAGGTCGGTGTCAACAGATGTTAAACTCGTCTATAATGTATAAATAAAATGAGTAACTGTTAAAAATAAGATAAACTGGGAAAATGCTGGATGTACATAGCACTGTTTCACAGAAGGCTTACAGAAAACTTTAAAAATGCATGTGATGGGAAACGGAAATCACGTGATGGAGAAAAGAAAGGGGGTCTATGAAAAAGGAAAGGAAAGACCCAGCCTCCAAAATCGAATTGTGAGAGCAATCCTTATGAGAAACAGAGGGAAAATTCAGCTTGTCTCGCCCAGCCGTCTACCTCGATTCACCGTCTTCCTTAAACCCACTTCTCCGAAAGGAATCGCAAAGTTGTAGTAGCCTCTGCTAAGCCCAGGAAAAAAATGTCCAATAGCTTAGATATCATTTGACCACGATTTCATCCAATTGACGGACCATACATCTTACCTCCAGCTGATGCTGGAGCATTTTCGAACCTACGTGAGGTCTCTTCTTCAACGGCAAAGCCCCATTTGATTCCGGACATCGCCTTGAAAAATTTTAGGATTTCCTTTCTAATAAGGGATTTGATGAACAGTAGCCCAATCTGATTCTGGACAACACCTCGAACAATTTTACGGTAATGGGCAACTGCACAAATTTTTCCCAAAACTAAACTAAGTGAGCAAGCAATGCCCTTGTCTTTTCCATTCACTTCCGCACTTCCTTTCCCCTTGAGAAATGTAACGTTCAACGAAATCTTGATGTCTCGTTTTTCAACTATTTGAGCTAGGCTATCGAACATAGTTGGCAAATCTTCGACTTCCTCGATTGCCGCAAGATTCACCGCTTCGATCATGGTACTCGATTCACCACTTGATTCGCAATTTACGACCCAATCAAAATAACCACAACTTTTACTACACTTTTTGAATAATCATCATTTGTTCTCAGTCTCCCTTTCAACCTCAAAACATTTCTGCAATCCATGTGCACACAATGGACATCGCCATTTCATTGGGCAATCCATAAAGAAGTGCTCCGTGCTTCTACATCCGTGACAAACACCAACATTTCTACCTCTCATCCTGGACGGGAGCAACGACAAAGCTGACAAGAAAATGGGCATAAATTATTTCAAACACAAATAAAAATTACCATGTATGCAAACAGAACTGTCAAGAAATTTCTTGGGCATAATTCAAAATTCATTGTCAACATTCATATTCCTTCATTCATCTCCATCAATTAATTGCACGATTTACATCAGTGAGCTTATCAAAATAAAAACTGATAGCATAACTACCACAACGTATACAACATTAACCACTCTATTAAGTAACATATTCAGAATCATATATCTCCTTTTTTGAATTTATGATGATTTACTATCAGTAACGTCACCGACAGGATGTGGATTTGAGTGCTGAGATGATGGGCGACGGTGGAGATGAGTGCGACGTTTGTGGACAGCGTTTGTGGACGGTCGTCTACCCTGGTGACGGTAAATCAGTACGATAAACGTTCGGTCGATTGACGGTTTCAAAATTTTCAAAATCAAGGAAAATTGGAAGAGAGATACCTTCATACGGAGATGGTAAACAACTTCACCCAATGTTCGTGGCCAGACGGAGGCCGGGGATGGGCGATTTTTAGGGTTTCAGTTGGAGGAAAGAGAGGGGATTTGTGTAGAGGAAAGACGAGGGCATTTGTGTGAATTTTCCCTTTCCCCTTTTCGTTTTTGTTTCCAGCCTTTTCCTTTTTTTAATTGACCTGCCAACTCATCTGTGAGCTATCTGTGAAGCAGCTTTCTATAAGTGTAGCGCGATTGATAAAAAAGCTTCATTGAACTACCGTGATTACCACTTCAAGTCATGCCTCGATCACTTACACCCAGCTAGAAGTTAAAAACTCATCAAAATAGATCAATGAACAGCATCAATTTCAGGTTATCGGAAGCAAAAGCAAATTGCGCCCAAATAAAAAATCAAGTAAAATCAAGCCTAATACTCTCAATTAAGTTCACCAATTTCATCCCCTCAACAATTCATAGAGTAATTCACATAGCAATTCACAGAGCTATTCACGGAGGCACTGAGCAATACTAGAAAAACCATAGTTATTAGATCCGACTCGGACATTGACTCGATCAAGATTCTGGATCATCGGGTTACTGATCGGACTGGTGGGTCCTTACTTAAAAATTATCTAAATTTTAAAGTATAATTTATTTATTTTTTCTTGAGACAATTAAATTTTTCAAGTTATTTGTTACAAATTATTTTTATACCTTTAAATTAATATTTTTTGAGCTCATTTATTAGTAATAATGGTAACATTGTGATTTTATAATTTTGTATATTATATTTTCCGTTTGTATGATGTACAAACCATTTATTAGTTATTAACCAATAATTTACTTGTATTATCTATTCAATTTGTTTTAGTTAAAATTAAAATTTTCAAACAAATAATTATATAAAATAATTATTTGATATTACAAAATGAATGAAAACATTGGACTAATTTTATTAAAAATATTTTCAAAATACGGCAAATTGTTCATAAGTTAAATATAGTTTATTATACAAAAGGACAACAAAGTATAGCTTGCTTTGGTGCTAAGGTTATATTCTAATTAGTTAGAGGTCAAGTGTTCAAATCTTTAGTCTCTTAAGATTTCAATAGAGAAAAGTTTTGAAATTTGGTTAAAAAATCGATCGGGCCAACTGGTTCGATAATTATATAAAGTGGAAATTACATAATTCCAGGTGTTTGAAAATTAGAATTCAAAAATCAGGGACCAAGTTTTATTATTCAAAAANCTTCCCCTTCCCCTCCCTTTACTAGGAGTAAAAAAGCCCAAAGACAAGTGAGATGCATCCCACAAAGATCCACAACTTGTTACGTTAGAGGACTAACTCCCTTCCACGAATGGATCAAACACCATGGAGAAAGCCCTTGCAAGGAAGAACAATCCCTTTGCAAGGAGGTAAAATAACATTATCTAGGACCAATGTGATACATCCCACAGACGACGTCAATCTGTTGACCCCCAAAAAATGTACATCTAACTCTTCTCTTTTGTTTATATATTTGTTGAATTATATTACTAATATTTTTTATTATGTTAATTGATAAATATCTCACAAAAATCACTCATTTTCCCAAGAAAATGTTGCAGGAGA